GGGGATGTGGTGTCACAGCCACGGGGGTGGCATTTCTGCACCGCCCGCCCCGGCCTGCAGCAACAGGTTTGCAAATTGCGAATGCGCAAAGCTCTTTTGCAGCCTTGCATTGCAGCCCTCCGTGCCCCCTCCCCCCCCAGATTGCACATGGGGTTGGGACCCCCCCATGGGACCCCTTTGGGATGGCAAATGGGGTTGGGAACCCTCCATGGGACCCCCCAGATTGCACATGAGGTTGGGACCCCCCCATGAGACCCCCCCCAGGATGGCACATGAGGATGGGAACTCCATCATGGGATCCTCCCAGAATGGCACATGGGGTTGGGACCCCCCCCCAGATTGCACATGGGGTTGGGACCCCCCCATGGGACCCCCCCCAGAATGGCACATGAGGTTGGGGCCCCCCCATGGGCTCCCCCCCCAGGATGGTACATGAGGATGGGACCCTCTGTGGGACCCCTTTGGGATGGCACATAAGATTGGGACCCTCCCCATGGAACCCCCCCAAAATGGTACATGGGATTGGGACCCTCCAATGGGAACCCCCCCATGGGACCCCCCCAGATTGCACATGGGATTGGGAACCCCATCATGGGACCCCTTTGGGATGGCACATGGGGTTGCAACCCCCCCATGGGACCCCCCCAGAATGGCACATGAGGTTGGGACCCTCCGTGGGACCCCTTTGGGATGGCACATAAAGTTGGGACCCCCCCATGGGACCCCTCCCAGGAAGGCACGTGGGATTGGGACCCCCCTCCTCCCTATGCTGCCCCCCATCCCCCCCCTCCTTTAGGATCCCGGCTCCCACCCGCGCTGGCGATGAATCCATCCCAGAATCTCCTGCTGCCCATCCTGACGCGTTTCTGCGCCCGCAGCTCCGTCACCTCCACCTCCTGCTGACCCCCCCCGGGGGGGCGGAAGGATTCGGGCCCCCACAGCCCCCCGTCCAACCGCTGCTGCAGCCCCGACACCAACACGGGCTGCGGGAGGGGGGAGGAAGTGAGGGGGGGGGTCTCAATGCGTGAGTTTTGCCATTGGGGGCGGGGGCTGTGCGTTATGGGGGGGGGGTCTCACCTGGCCCTGCCGCCAGTGCTGCTGGAACAGCGCATAGCTGGTGGCGTGGGGGGGGTCCTGCAGCCAAAGCAGCCCCCCCGGGGTGAGGACGCGGTGTGAGGTGGGGGTCCCGGGAGGGGGGGAGGGTCTGGGGGTTCCCCCGTGCCTCTCCTGGATCTTCCTCTCCACCACGCGGGCGATGATGCTGTCCAGGATGGCGGTCAGCCGGTTGTCCTGGGGAGGTGGGGGGGCACACCGAGCGTCACCCCACGCCCCCCGCCCGGATCCCCGCCCCCCCCCCCGTTACCCCACACCTTGGCAGCACTCACGCTGTGCAGCGCGGAGGCGACGGGGGCGAAGGCCATGCGCACCCCTGGGTGCCCCGGGCACAGCCTGACGGCGGTGGAAGCCAAAAGGTCGCACAGCGTGGCCGTTTGCACGGCGCCCCTGGGGGGGCGGGGGGGCGGCACCGGGGACCCCCCCTCACGGCGCTCTGCTCCGAAAAACGGGGACGGGGTCAGCGTTTGCTCTCACCCCATAACGCAGCCCCCAGCATCCCCCCCCCCGCCCCGCAGCCATTCATCCCTACCGGCTTCGATGGGTGCGGCTGAGCTGAGCTCTCTGTTGGGGTCGGGGGGGTCGGGGGGGTCCGCGCCCTCCATCTTCTCCTAAAAAACCCCAATCGGCTGAACGGCAGCACCGCGCTCTGCTCTACCCGCAGGGATTGAGGGCATTGCGCACCGACCTCAAATTTGGGGGGGGGTCTCTCTTACCTGGGGCTCTGCGGTCCCCTCGGTGCCCCCATCCCCGCAGGGACAACGCGACGCGATGCTGAATTTGCTGCACACCTCGTGCAGCTGCTGCCAGAGCTGAGACAGCGCTGCGGG